AAGAAGAAGAAGAAGAAGAAGATGCTCTCATCCCACACAGAAGAGCAGAAAGAGAGTGGCCAGGTCGATGTGAATCGGGTAAAGCCACACTGCCAGCTGCCCTATGCAAGGCCTCGACATTGTTGTTCCCCCTTCTCCTCCAAGCAGTCGTAGAGCCAGTTACAGTCATAGCAGCTGCATTTCAAGGAGTCAAGCTGCCATTTCCCATGCGCCCTGGGTATAATAATCGCTATACCTTACATCCGGGCCAAGACAGTAGCTGGGTTTTAAGTAAGAAAAACACCAGATGGCACTACTGCCATGTGCACTCGGCCGAAAGCTTATCAAGCGATGGAGCCATTATCAATCAGGAGGTAGGCTTGGAAGCAGCCATCCTTTCAAAAAAGTATAAAAGCTCACCAGTCTATCCATTATCAACCAGGAGGTAGGCTTGGCAGCAGCCATCCTTTCCAAAAAGTATAATAGCTCACTGGTCTAGCTTCATCACGCCGAAATGGGCCGGGTTCGCTGAAGCGTTGAGACTACTTACGATGAGCAAGGAGTAATCTGGGATGACCTGAGCATCTGTAGAGTGTTACAGGTGAGTTTATATGCGGCATCAGTACACCGGTACATCGTGTGGCTGAGTGCCTCTCAGTCATTGCTCATTCAGAGGCCTAAATCGATTGCCGCATTTGACTCTGAAGATGCGCTGGCGAAGGGAATTTGTGTTCGCTGCTTGCCGCGTTTGTTGTCTCTCTGGATCTGCCGCAATATCCGTGCATGAAGAACATCTGCACGCTGGCGTGCCCTCATCTCCTGCTGATACCAGATCTGTCGCTGTGTGTTCCAATCATCATGAACGGACTTCGCCCGAAGAGCCTTCTTGCGCGCTGCCAGGGCCTAGATTGAGAAAACAGAATAATAGACACAGCAAAACCGCAAAAGCATCAAATGAGCTCACTGGAAAACAGGTCAGAGTGAGTGAGTGAGTGAGTGAGTGAGCGAGTGAGTGAGTGAGTGAGTGAGTGAGTGAGTGAGTGAGTGAGTGAGTGATAGCAGCATGCCTACTTGTCTCTCTCTGCCTGGTGGCTGAATAGTACACACACATAGCTGTTCAGTAAAGTAAATGAGTAAATGACGAAACAAGCAAAAGAAAGCACACCAAATAGCTCTGCGTTGCCATGAAGACGCAACCAAGAAAAGTTCATCCTGACTTATTAACAAGACGGCTCCTAAAACTATCTAGGCCTTTTGGAAAAAATCAAAAAAAGTATCTGTTCTGATCAGTTAAAAAATAAAAAAAAAAAAAAAAAAAAAGAAGACGCTTCCAAGCGACAAGAAAACGCAGCAGCGGCTTACCAGGAGCAACTCAAATCTTTCTCGCAACGCTTTCTCCTGGGCAGATTCTTCTCTGATGGCTGCTATGTCACCTTGGGTGGAAAATGGAAATGAATCATCATCATCATCATCCTCATCCCCATCATCATCATCATCTGCATTGATCATCATTTCCGATTCTTGAAAGAACTCCTTTGGCTGGGTTCTCCCAGTACTTGTTTCTGTTGCAGAATGCTGTGGTTGACGACTGCCTGACACGGGCGGCTGCTGGACCTTCGAAGAGATGTCTGGAGTTTGCCGTGCAACAGGCCTCCTCAATTCACTGTCGATGGACACCACCTTCTCGTAGTCGGAGAATATAGACGTGTCTGCAGAGCAACAGCACAGCCAGAAGGCACAATTGGGGGATCTTTTAGATCAAAAACAATTTGAAAACAACCTCCAAAAGAGAAACAACACGAGGTTCCACTCTGCAATCAGCCTCGCTTTCTTTCACACTTCACATGCATGTAAACAGGTAGCACAGCAAACTGGCGACAAGCGCCCACTCAAAGCTCAGAGATATGGTAATCCAGAACACAGTTCAGATACAAGCTTGCTTCGGATGGCTATGGCGCGTCAGCGCCTATACAACTCTCCGTTCGTCACCGCGCCCTACCCTGCTGTTCACACACACTCAACTTAGGATCACCCTGGATATCCCACATGCGACACACTGTACACACACGCACACACACACTACACTCTTCTCCTAGCTATGGCGGCTATGGCCGCTACTACCTCTCTACCGCTATGACTAAGTTCTCCTTCGGTCCACTTCGTCTTTGGGCATACTGCAGACCACCTCGCACAAGTCGCTGTAGCAGCGCTTCTGCATGGCTTACGCAGGAATGAACGAATGGCTGGGCGCTGCCTCTTGATTTATACTTCTGTAACTCGTTGGTCTACCCTTTTCCACCGGGCCTATGGTGCACACAGTCCCACACGGTACTTGCTTGACTGGACTAGGACTGACTGGGACTGGTACCGCTGACTCAGCAAGGGTGGACTTCACCACTTGCCCACTTGCCTCTGTCTAGACGTGAGCCAACTTCGAAAGGCCACTACCGGGACCTTCTGGAAGTCTGTAGTCCTGGCCTTTCGAATACTGTAGCAGCTACGACCTTGACCTTTCAGGACTGTAGCAGCTACGACCTGGACCTTTCAGAAGTCCTACAGCTACGACTTCTAGAACTCCCTAAGACCTCTATCCGACAGGTCTACAGATCGAACCCCTACAACCTACGGACCCTACGACAGCCTACCGACTGTTACGAATACACAGGTCACGGGTTCAACTCTCGGGTCGACGCAGCTAATGTACACAGGTAAGGTAAAGTCTACGGATCGAGCCCTGGGATCTGCATTCGCTACTGCTAGCAGGTGAATACCGTTTCAAATCGGGCCTCCCAGCCATAATGGGGAGGAGCGTGGGACCGTAGGTGAGTATGAGCTGCATGGTTTCCTTTGACTTGCCGGTACCAATGCTTCCCAGAATGGACTGGAGCCCGGATCAGTAGCTTGCTTTTTTTTTTTTTTTTTTTTTCCCAAAACAGAACCTTAGGGTTCTGGCTCCTTTTCCATTTGCAGGGGAGCATCAGTACGGTTCCTATTCCACCGGCCAGTCAGAAAGGATTACAAAGAGTACTCGCACATGCTCCTCCCACTTATGGTGGGGAGGCCCGAAGGACGGCATTGATTGATTACCTCCTGGAGGAAGGATGCACCACCGCTCACCCCTGCCTAAGTTTTTAGCCTGTTCCACTTTGCTTCTGGCCTTAGATACTACCGTCTTCACCCGAATACAACACCCGGTCATTATAGCTGTATTTGGCACAACTTTCAGCCCAGATACCCGGGCGTTCTGTTCTATTCGGGTGAAGACGGTAGTCTGGCTTCCCCGCTGTCTTGGTTCTTGGAGCTTACTTACTTGGGCCTCATTCAGTCCGTTCCTCTCCACTCCTTCGCTGTCAGAATTTCCTTTAATCGCTGGAACTGCTGGTTGGGCCCTTTGGCTGAACGAACTCTTTGGTAAGACCCTAAACCCTCTCCTACTTGGTTGCTGCGGTCTTTGTTAAAGCCCTACGCCCTAGCGGACTTATTTCGGTGTTGAAGACCTATTCCCGGTTGCTGCGGTCTTTGTTAAAGCCCTACGCCCTGGCCGACTTGTTGTTTGGTGTTGAAGACCTATTCCCGGTTTGCTTCTATCCAGTTCTTCTCAACTCCTTGATTGTCGGACTATCTTTAGTCGCTGGGATTGGTGGATGTCCTTTTTTTTACTGAGGTTTTTGCTATTACCTAAATCGGAAAATCCTATAAATCATCACTACTGTTGTAATCCCTGCCAAAACCCTAAATTCTATACGGGGTGTGTGAAGTTGGGGACCTAGAGAGCCTTTAGGCTGATATGCAATACTAATTATTGTTCCGGGAAATATGTTTGGTGTATGGGGAGGGTGATTCGGCGAGATTGAGGGGTAGGAGTGTTCGTGTCGTTGGGAAGTGGCATTGGATTTGACAGGGGTTAGGGTTTGGGGTGATTTTTGTTTTGTTTTTTGTTTTTTTTTGAAAAAAAAGGGTTTGGGCCCTTGGGGTGTTGGAGGTGTGTCAGCTTCTTCATGGGACGGTGGGACTGGAAGTTAGGAAAGTGAGATGGTCAGTCAGAGTGTTGGGGTCGAGGTCGGGAGATGATTGGTGTCTTCCGCTAGTTGGGTGTAGTGAGGTGTGCGGAGTTTTGGAGTGTGTTGGTAGCAACGTTGATAAAGTGGTGTCTGTTCTGGCTTAAGTATCAGTGGGACGACGGTTTGGCTGTGTGGACTGTGGGGGAGTGATTTGGGTTTTGGTTATTTAACGCGGGTATAATTGCTACTTAGCCAGTCTTTTTAAGGAACAGTCTTTCCCTCTCTTTTTTGTTTTTTTTTGTTTTCTTTTTTTTGTTTGTTTGTTTGCTTTAACCGAACCTCTCGATTCTGGCTCCTGCCATTCTGGGGAGCAACAATCTTTCCCTCTCTATTGTTCCAAGTGTCCCATTTTCTTCTAGCTTCAAGGAGAGAGATGAATTTTTTGATAATCTCCTATTTCTTGTGTCTGGGGTGTTCTGTAGGGCCTGCAGTTGAGAGTGTGTGTTCTGTTCCATAGGGCGTGGATTTCCGTTTTCACCATTTGTTTAATGGTTATGAGAGGGTTTTCTGGGGTGATGCTGGACTCCTCGAAAGTTGCTTCGCATCTCCTTTTTTCCAGATTGCCCAGAGGGTCACTTTTTTCACAAGCGTGAAGAGGAAAAGATCGAAGCCTTTGAGACGTGGGCATTGCTCCACATCTAGGAATAGGGTGCCGAGGTTAATCACACAATGATTTTAGTAGAGTGTTTATTCCAAGCTAGCTCTACGTCGTGCCAGAGTTGCTTTGTCTTTTTTTGGCAGTCTATGAAGCAACGGTCAAGTGAAGTCGAGAGAGAGGTCACAAACCCCGCACCAGGATGTTTGCACGGTGATGTTTTCCTTCTTTCTTCTTTGCGCTAGCCAGAGATCAACGGGTGCAATGGTCAAGTGAAGTCGNGGTCAAGTGAAGTCGAGAGAGAGGTCGCAAACCCCGCACCAGGATGTTTGCACGGTGATGTTTTCCTTCTTTCTTCTTTGCGCTAGCCAGAGATCGACAGGGGGGGGACTGCTGTAAACATTACGAGCCATAGAAGACTAGCTAATTTTGTCGGTCTTGTATGGAAGAAGATTGCGGGCCAGGATGGATGGGTTGATGCCGTTGGTTGTGACATAACTTTCCTTTTTTTCGCATCGCTTTTGTATGATCGTTCGTATTGAGGGGGGTTTGTTGGGGGGGAGCTTGTAGCCTAATTTCGGGGAGTAGTCGGTGAGTGCGTTACAACAACACCTTACTGTCTGCTGGGTGACTGGGTCTACTTTCAGATGACGCATTTCCTCTCCGGTTTGTATACTCTGTTTCTGCCATCTTCAATGACCCGGCAACCCATCTGTCACCTTCAATGACTCTGGAATCTGGATGATTTAAAAGCCCCTTCCTTCCGCTCTTGGTTTTTTACAAGGAAGGAAACTTGCTGGGTTGCCTGGTTCATCCAGAGGGAGAATAGAACAATGAATGTCGCCAATTTTTATTCCGTAACTTGCAATTTGTGATTTTTAGGACCTCTGTGGGCTGTGTGTTGATTCCTGTTTGCAGCCCACTCACCCCACATCTAGTTTTGGCCGGTTTTTACTAACCGACGCCATTCTAGGGGTATGCCTTCGATGATGTGCGTGATGTTGGCCTGTAGGTTTATGGCATCTGTAATGACCCGTCATAACACAGACTGAAAACACTGCTGATTTCTGAAGTTCTGCCGATGGAATGGATGCCTTGCTGAGATTCCCGCATTCTGCAGAGTTTTCTAAGTCTGTATGTGTGCGTGCTTGTTGACCTGCGTGCCTGTCTGAGTGCTTGTCGGCATGAGTGTGTGTGTGTACTTGCTTGTTTGGGAGGCCCGTAGGGTCGGTACTTACCTGTGGCCGTGATATTGAGGGTTTCGCAATCAGATCAATCGATTTGTTGCTGGTTGTTTGGATGGCATACTAATTTTCAGCAAGTCGATAGAGGAGCACACGAGACACCTTGAGGAAGTGTTGCAGATCCTCAACGACGCGCAACTCCATCTCAACTTAGAGAAATCTGAGTTTGGGAGGGCAGCGTCATCTACCTTGGACATCGGTTGTCTGCTTCAGGCCTAGAGCCCGCGGCAACCAAAGTTGAGGTCATCCGCAACTGGCTTGAACCGGCAAATGTCTTTGAGTTGCGTTCTTTTCTTGGTCTTGCGTCGTACTACCATAAGTTTGTGCCCAAATTCTCTATCATTGCCCGTCCGTTGTCCAAATTGACAAGCAAGAACGTGTCTTACACGTGGGATGGGGAATGCACAACAACCTTTCAAGCCTTGAAGGAGGTTTTGGTGAGTCATCCAGTGCTCCACGTTGCAGATCTCAAACTTACATTCGTAGTAACTACGGATGCAAGTTGTATGGGATTGGTGCAGTGTTGCAACAAGATGATGGTGACGGAGTACGTCCACTTGAGTATTACAACAAACGCATGCCCAGTCAAAAGGTAGCTGCCTCCACTTACATGCGAAAACTCTATGCCTTGAAAGAGGCACTGGATCATTGGAAACACTACCTCTTGGGCCGCCATTTCAAAATGTTCTCAGACCACGAGACTTTGAAATGGATCCAGACACAGATTAATCCATCAACTACATTGACCCCCTGGATGCATGAGATTGATGTGTACGATTTTGAACTTAAGCACAAGAAAGGTTGTTACA